CGTAAGTAAGTAGTATACAGAGTACTCGTATACTCTACCTCGATCTGATCGCGCAGGTTTTGCACTTCGCCCTCCATCCTCTCCTGCGTGTCCCGGAACTTGCCCTTCAGCTCTTCCAGCCCTTCTTCCGTCTCCTGGCAGTTCTGGATGAGGAACAAGTTTTGCTCCTCTAGTTGCGAGAACACCTCCAGCAGCTGCCGCGGGTCCTTGAAGAATATCTCGCCCACGCTGTCGTCATCCTCGCCGTCGCTGACGTCATCGTTCGTGTCCTGGGCGGTCGACCTGAAGGTGACATTCACAGTGAATCAAAGACCCGATCAAAATTCAGCCTGGCCACTCAAAGCAGACTTGAGGTTAAAAGACTCTTCAGAAGAACTCTCGGGTTGGAATTCTGCTTCCTACTTGTAAAGCGAGGACTACAGGATCCTCCTTGGCAACGCAATACAAGATGAGTCTGCAGAAAGAAATGACCACGCCAGTCCTGACAGACAGATGGTTTTCATTACATTTTCACCCGCTTAGAAAACGATTGAGGCCAACTTTGAGGTGCCCTCAATCGCTCTTCCAAGCAATTGAAGAGCTCTCTTCCAAACCCCAGGGGCAAACATCCCCAATCGAAGAATCAAGCTCAGAACCTGCAATCTGCCTCGTTCCTTGTAAATGTTACGGTCAACTGGGCACTTTCTTCGAGCTCTCCATCAAATGCAGGGATGGTACAGTTTTCGCTTCAGGTTTTGAACTGCACCTGCCGCTGGTTGTCGGGTCGGGCTCTTCCGCGTCTTCTCCCAGCACCGCGGCTGTCGCGGCCGCTGCCTCGCGTCGCGCGTTCTCCGCCTCTTCCTGCGTAAGAAAAAGTTGCCCAGCAGATTGCGTCAGGGAAATATATTTGAAACATAGTTCTAATCCTCTTCAGGCAAGTTGCATGAACGGAACGGTCAAGGGAAGAAAGAAACGAGACACTCAAAACATCGCACTTCAGCGGTAAATTATGAGCTTCGAGGGAGATTAACTCCGACGTTCCGCAACATTCTCACAAATAGTTTTTCAAAGCTCTGCTCAAGTCAAAGAATCTTACAGAATGGTAGGGTTTTCGGTTGTAGGATAATGGGAGTGGGAGCCACTATGAAATCTCTGCTCAAATCTGACCCCTCTCAGACATTCCGCACCTCCGCTTTCCGTTTGGCTCTCCGTTCCGCTCGCCTCGTGGCCCGCTGCATCTCCCGCCGCGTCTCCGCCTCCACCTTCTGCGTCTCGCTCCACTGCGCGGGCGTCAGCGCCGCCAGAAAGTCCCGGTACTTTTTGCACTCCTCTAGTTGCTCCTCGTACTTGCTCAGGTCGCTGCGGATCGCCGTTACGACGCCGTTGAGCCGCTTGATCTCCGAAACCTGCACAGAGGTACGTTATGATGATTATGATATGTTATGAAGCATACATGGGCAGGAGTGCCGGTGACTTTTTGCACTCCCTTAGTTGCTCTTCGTACTTGCTCAGATCGCTGCGGATCGCTGTGACGACGCCATTTAACCGCTTCCGACACCTGCGAAGAAATTATCTTTTGTGCCTTCAGATTGGCTCGAAGAAAGCATACAGGGCAAAAGTACTTCTTGCACTCCTCTACTTGTTCCTCGTATCTGCTCAGATCGTTGCGGAACACTCTCGACGCCGTCGAGCCGATTGATTCCTTACATCTGGGCCCAGATCCAAGCTGAGAGGTGCCGAGCCTCTTTAAAAGGGTTTGTAAAAAGGTTGGCTTGGTGTCTCGTGCCGTCTTTCGGTAGTCATACCTTGCTAAAGATTCTGCGGCTCGCGCTAAGCACTTCCTCCGCTCGCAAGTCGACCGGACAGCAAGCAGCGCCTTGTACTACACGCTGTCCGTACGGTCAGATCGAAACCGTGGAAATACAATCAGCCTTGTCAGGACCCTGCATTCTTTTGCTTCGGTCCTCTTGCTCCTACCTTTCTCAATGCCTCTTGCACCTCTTCGTAGTCTTTCTGACATCCTTCACTGTCAGAGGTCAAAACCACCGTCCCCTCTCGTACAGTTTGCGATAAAGTGACAAAAAACTGAATCTGATCATTTAGAACCTATCCGAAGACCCACCTTCTCCTGTTTCAGCTTCGCCTCCTGCTCCGCCTTCCGTATCGCCTCCTGCACCTTCTCGTCGTTCTCTTTGAGGAACGCGTCGAACTTGAGCGCGTCTGCCTCCAGCGCGGCCTCGCTCGCGCGCAGCGCCTGCTCGCGCTCCAGCGCGCGCTCCTCCAGCTTGCGGATCTCTGCGCGCTTCGTGTCCAGACTCATCTGAGATCGAAAAAAGAAGACAGCGTATGGTTCTCAATTGTTCGCGCGTAGCGCCTGCTTGCGCTCCAGCGGTCGCTCCTCCAGCTCGTGGGTCTCCGCGCGCTTTGTGTCCAGGCTCATCTGAGATGTAAAAAGAACGATAAGTTATAGTTCTTGAAAACTCGCGCGCAGCGCCTGCTCGCGCTCGAGCGCGCGCTCCTCCAGCTTGCGAAATCTCTTCGCGCTTCGTATCCAAGCTCATCTGAGATAGAAGATAGAAGATAGCTTTTGGATTTCCGACCTTTTTGCGCAGAGTGCTTGCTCGCTTCAAAGCGCGCTCCTCCAGCCTGCCAAATTACTCCCAAGCTCATCTAAGATAGAGGAAGGAAGATCGATTGTGCTTTAGAGCGTAACATTCGGCCAGGTATACGAGATGGTTGCTTCCGCGGTATATGCATGCAGATCTCCTCGCGCTTCGTGTCGAGGCTCACCTGAGATGAGTTATAGGCTTTGTGACAGATCAAAGGCTTTGTGACAGATCAAAGGCTTTGTGACAGATTGTGACAACAGTTAAAGGCTTGTGACAGATTACACATGAAGTCCAAATCTTCGAGTTCGATTTATAAAGCGGCTGGGATTGTTCCGTGCGAAAGCGGTTGCGGATTATGCGTGCGTCAAGATCCAGGCACTTACAAGAAGACGGGGCCATACGGGTCTAGAAAGCCGCCTATCATGTGCGTTAAAAGAGCGGGCGACTCCAGTAGCGAGCGCTGGCGGTCGCAGCTTCCGAATCCCGCCCGCTTGATGCCGACTCGATCTCATGAAGGAAGAGGATATCTTATAGCGCCAGAGCTCTTTCCAGTCCCGCCCGTTTTGACCCACCCACTTCCCCTAGAAGCTTGTATCCAAGCCCGAGGCTCTCCTTAAGCCGTCCATTTGCGAAATGTAATATAAGGTGGGGGTGCCAACTCGGCGATCCGTGCTCGCCTCTCTCCCACGCAAATGTCACCAGACTGAGCCGCTTACCTGAACCAGGAAGATCTCGCGTTTCTTCGCGATGAAGTCCGCAATGTTCTCTTTGTCCGAGTGCGTCCGGGCCACGCTCGTCGCACTCGCGCTCGCGCTCGTCGCCAGGTCCAGGGCGCCGACGGACGTGGTCACACGGCCCTCTGCCAAAACCTGCGAGGAGGGACGGCAGTCTTTAGTCGACCACCTTCCGCAAAACAATTCGACGTAGAAACTAAAGAAGTTTAGCTTAGCGTCTCGTCGTCGAATCGCTTTCCGGGCCGTGGCAGATGGCAGGAGACTGCAGAACGCTGTTCATAATTTGTCTTTCTGTTCTAAAGTTGCGGTCGGTTGGACAAGTCTTCTTTTCCACTTCTCACAGGCATCGGTGTGACGAGGCCCGTTTTCCTACTTACTATGCCTGCAAGCCTCTTTGACAGTGCGAGCGAAGTGCAAGGTCGATCTCATGATCCTTAGGTTGTTGGTTTGACACCAAGGTCTGCGACTGGGAAGACGCCTTTCACGCTCGCAATCACGCCAAGTTTCGGTAACGGTTCGCATTCTAAAAATCCTTGAACTGGGTTCTTGTGCTCGACGAGCGGTTTGTTTCCTGCAAGATTCGACGCTGGCGACCGTACTGACTAGTTCGCTCTCCGTCCGACGCTTGCGACCAAAGTAAATAATATTCAAGCAGTCATTATACGCTTAATTTTCTGTCCAACTGACGCTGGCGACCAAAGTGAGTAATCTGCAGCCACTCAGCAAACGCTCAAGTGTCTGTCCAACTTGAGCTGGCGACCAAAGTAGGTATATTGCAAGCACTCATCAAACGCTTAAGTTTCTGGCCGACTTACACTGGCGACCGCACTGGACGCGAGCGAGGTGCCCATCCGGCTGGCGAACGTCGTCTTCTCGTGCACGTGCATGTGCTTGATTTTCTCCCGCTGCTCTAGCTTGTGCCGCTTCTCCGTCTCGCGCAGCTTGAACACCTCCTCGTCCGCGGGCATCGAGAATGGGTTCTTGGACCATGGCCTGCCGGTGAAGGGTGGGATGTTGAAAGCTGAGGAGTTTGGGGTTCAGCAATACGAAATTCTGATTCAGAGGATTCAAACCTAGAGATCTTCTCGATGTGGCTAGTGCCAAGGATTGGAGGTCCGCAAAAATCTAAAAATCCGCCCCTCTGGCATGACATCAAGAGCTTCGTCAAAGGCGCAAGTAGTTCAAGGTGAAGTTGATGGGTTCGAGCCTCTGGGCATAAAGCTGATGGGGGATCCTACAACTATGTCCTGCAAGAAGAATCCGATCATCCAAATCGAAGTGGAAGTCGGAATTTGATGCTTTGCGCTATCCATTCTGCAAGCAATGCAGAAAGCCAAATTGCAAGCCGTTGCTTGTCTCCAAGAGTTTCCTCAACGGCTTCACTCAATCGTACCACCAAGAAGGTGAAGATAAGTAGCTCAGTGCCGCCGTTGGAATAGCGCCTCACCCCGTCGTTTTCTCCATGGTGGCAACCATTGTGCCCGACACGTTCGGCGAAAGCTGGCCCCCTGCCTGTGCAATCACCACGACTTGCATATCAGTGTTTTGGTGTAGTGGTGGACAGTAACTTTCTCCTGGATGTGTGCATGCCCAGCGAACTCACTTATGCATTTAACGAGGACTGAATTGTCTCCCTCCACCAGCAACAGTGGGATATTGTCCGCGCTGGACGATACTGCATCCTATTGCTACAGTGAGAAGCTGATTATTTCTTGGCCACGGCATTGGCATTTCGCTCTCTTGAGACTTAGGCACTCCCTTTCAGCTCTGGCAAAGATGCTTCTGAGAATTCAATCAGAGTACACATCCCTATGAAGGCCGGTGCTTCTCTTGGCTTACAGACTTCGAAACATTCAATCATATGGTTCCTGTGAGACCGTAGCCTTTTCTCGAATCAAGCTCATGAAGGTCACAACGAGCCTAATGCGTTTGAATGGTGTCAACAGGCACTAACGCTAACATAGTCGTTTCAAATTAAACGAAATTGATCAACCTACCATGTTGTATGATTAGACACCAAGGCTCGAAATGCGCACCTTTCTCTCCGTTTCAGCGTCTGTTTCGTTTCCCCACTGGGAAACCATGCCTGCAGTGGTCTGTAGAGACGTAGAAACGAAAAGCCGGTTTAGTTGCGTCTACCTTGTTGGCCTCCTCTAGTTGCACCACACTGCCGGAAAACATAAGCGAAAAGTAGGGCAAGGGGCACACAGCTCCTCATTGAAGAACCCTGACGGCCAAGCCTCTGTTTGCATCACAAGTAGTGGATAGTCTCCATTTGGGAAGTCAGGTAGTCGCCTTCCATTGTCATCAGTTGATTACCACCATCCAGAATTCTCTGTCAGCAGCAAATTCGTTGACAAGTCATCATTAGCTGACCTGATACTACCACTCTGTTTGCATAGAAGTCTCGGTTTTTGACTAGATGCAAACCTCTTTGTTTTGAATGCACTAATCTGGTCAGACGGTGGTCCCATTTCACCCTGCACAGCTCACCACCTCGTTACACTTTCATGTAGATAATAGAGCCTAGAAGTAACAAGAACAGCTCACCTCCTCTCTCTTAGCTGCATGCTCTTCTGGCGCAAAAGTGGTTCTTCCTGTACCTCCCGAGATTGCCATGATGCACAACTCGCGCAAGTGCTCAGCTCAGAGCTCTAGATTTGTCCTTCCGCTTGTACTCCAAGTAACGTGTCTGCATGCCCCCAACCCAACACCTCAGCAGTACGCCAGACTGAAATCCACTTAGGAATGCCTGGCAGCAAAGTGTGCTAAGCAGATCCACGTAAGAGCTGAGCTAGTACTTCAAGACCCTACTCCAAAGTCCGGAATTCTCTGAAATGATGGTTTGGAGGTACCTGCATGAGCAGAGCAAATTGAGACCCCAAACACCCAGGTCTTGTAAAAGGGGAAACAATCAAAAGACGCGTTGAAAATGTCTGCGATGCAGCGCTGCACTCGCGAACTCGTGCCTTCAGCTGCGCTTCTTGAAGTGGCTGCTTCGCCAGGGATATTCCCATAAGCGCTTAGCGCTTGAATGTGCGGCTCTGCAGACCGGGAGTGCATTGTCCAGGTGCCCGGAACGGACTAGAGTACCGAAACTTGAAAGGCTAGGTATCTACGAAAACATGAGTAATGGGCGGCACGGATAAGTCTCGATTATGTTGAGTCAGGTGTATGTTGAGTTGGAAAAAGTCCCCGGGCCTCAACAAACTAGGTAGAATCTAAACCCAAAGTTAACATGCTCCGCACCCATGCCCACCCTAAACCCCCAAACCAACCCCACCCGTCCCCCGGGCATGACCTAACTCAACATAGCCGCAACTTAACATAAAATCGAGACTCAGGTATTGCAGCACGGTACACTTTTTCTGCGCAATGACTCTCCTGCAACCAGCGCCTATCTCACTGAGTCGATTCTGAAACGAAAAGCAGCCCTGCAACGCGCGCGCACTCATGTAAACAAGTGCATGCGTGCGCATGTATGACCACGGTTCCGGTTCCGATCCAGACCCAAGGTCTTGTTCCAATCCTCCGCTGCCAGCCAGGCCGGAATTAGCGCAGAAAACAGCAAAAAATTAGAGCCCGCTTGCTGGCTGGCTTTTCAAAGGCGCCTCAGGCTCCAGATGGGGAGCAGAACTCGCGTCCTTCCCCAGGACTTTATCTGTACGAGCAGCTGAGGAGGCATGTCTGCGACAAGGAGCCCCGCGCCTGATGGGTGAGCACAATTTTGTCTTTGTTCTAGACAACGCTGGTGTTGGTTGAGTTGCTGCAAAGAATTGCATCCGGCTTATCACATCTGTTTGCTGCAGCAAACTAGGCCAATGGATGCCTGGGGTTGACGTCTTTCGGTAATCTCTGTGCCGAAGACAGAACGTGATGCATTGTTATCAAAGACAAAAGAGAGATGAAAGATGAAGCAGGTGACTCCCTAGATGTGGTCCTAAACCAGTCGCTCATGCAATTTTGTAATGTTTTGTTGCTTCCTTTTGCTAAGTCCCTTTCTTTCTTCCTTCGTCTTGGCCTTTCGTTTCTCTTCCTCTATCAGGACTCTTCTTTTTTATTATATGCTCTCAAAGCTCCACACCTTCAGTAACAGCTTTTTGGAGCTTTGCTTCACGTCTACCAGAAACCTTGGAAGAAGAGATGTGGTCAAGCAGAAGCCTGTGCCCCTGAACTTCCATGGTAGTGTTTGTGCTGCGACTTCAGTTGTTCTGAAGTACTGTCTGTCAATTTAACCAGGTAGCACATTCATGTAAGTGATTGCTCTACTGACGATCGCAAGTGACAAGCCAGACATACAAAAGCCATCTTCATTGGCACCTGAAAGGGGACATGATTTACCACAGTCACTCCGGTTTCAGTATGCTCTTCTCATTTTTCTAAGCGTGAGCCTTGGCAGCTCTTGTTGGTAAGACCTAGTGATATGTAAGCAGCGAAAAATGTGACACACATATGTAGTAAGAAGCTCAGTTTCACAACCTTGTGAGCACAAAATGGATTGCACTTCAGACCCTCAGAATGGAGTCACCAGGTTCACCTTCTGCTCTGCAGGTCCCCAGAGAACCGGGACAGGTCGCCTTCTCCCAAACAGGAGGAAGCGGCGCGCTCTCGTTCTCCGACCCCGCAGAGGTCGCCAAGCCGCGAGAGGAGAGACACACCTGAAAGGAGGGACCGCTCGAGAACGCCGGACGCGCCCCGCAGGACACGCAGTCCGGACGACAGGAGACGGTCCAGGACACCAGAGAGGAGAGGCCGCTCGAGGTCGCGCTCTCCAGCAGCAAAGTAAGACGGACTTGACGATGTTCTGGTGGTAGATTGGGTGAAGGATTTCAATCTGGAGAGTGAAAGTTAATGAACTGAAATGTAGAAGTGGAAGGTTGAGCAGAGGAGAGTTGATGAACTCAAGGGTAGAACTGGAAGGTTTAAGCATGGTTGTCCTCAAGAAGCAAGGTTACTTCGTGCTAAACAGGAGTTCGGATAATCACAACAACCGCCACTTTCTTGACTTTGCCAAACAAAGGCCCGAACGCAAGCTGTGACAGTACGTATGCACTGCTTCCTGAGATGAGGCACTGCACGTCCCAGCGATACCTTGATATCAAGGACTATGAGACTTTGCCAAACCAAGTGAAAGGAACTTTGTCACAACTTAGTGACTGTAGCGGCTCCTTTCCTTGCAGCGGCGGCGGCCGTGGCCGAAGTGCTGAGAATCCTGGGACCAACCTGTATGTGACAGGGCTTTCTACCCGTGTTACGGAGGAAGAGCTTGAGAGATACTTTTCCAAGGAGGGCAAGGTAAGCCTTCGAAAAATGCAGAACAAGGAGCTTTCGAAACTGGAGGGTTCTCCAGCGAGCAAAGCCCCAATGTAGCGCGAAATGATACATAAGCAGACTGATGTGAAAGGGGCAAGGAGAGTGTTGTCTTGGAAAAAACTAGCAGCGGCTAGTGTGAAATGAGTTCGTTTTTCCTGTGTTCAGTGCTTTGATTGATGATAATAAAAAACCAAGCGCTGACACCTTGTAAAGGTCCAGCCTTCTCAAGAGATTGCTTTATAGTCTCTGTCAAAGGTCGTCCTTATTGAGACCAGCCTGTGTTGTCTCGTTGAACACCAGCCTCTGTTGCAAGAGCACAACCGCTTGCATAGCTCTCAACAACATTTATGAGAATGGATGTGATAGATTCTCTGCTCTCTGGCCGCTCGTGAGGGTTGCTTAGCTGACAAGACACGAGTGCTGCACGCCCCTAGAACACAAGCAGTGTGTTGCACTGACTGTCAAGTCGTCTTTATCACCTCTACTTGTGGCGCCGAAGCAGTAAGCGCGCGGTAATGTATTACCCTATTTGTTACTGGCATTTCATCATCCTAGAGAGCTAGAACGTCTCTTCCGCACAGATTGCCGCGCTTCCCTTTGTTGTGGTGGCTTCTAGAAACACAAGTACGACCAAAAACAACAGTTGCAAAGAGTAGGGATTCAATCATTGAACCCTTTCCGAACATTTCGCAGGTTGCCGATGCGCGCATTGTCCGAGACCCAAGGACCCAGGAGTCGCGCGGCTTCGGCTTCATCACCATGGCCACGCGTGAAGACGCTGACGCTGTTGTCAGGAGGGTCAACGGCAAAGCCTTTGAGGGACGGCTGCTCACTGTTGAGAAGGTACGCTGGTCAAAATCGTCATGCTTGCAATGGAGTGATTCGCCATCCATTCATTTCCTTTCATGGCATTTTTTTCCATTCCCTATGGCTCTCTGCCCCTATGATTTTGGTGCTCTTTGATCTTTGCTGGAGATTAACGCGCTTCTCCGGCCATTTGAGAAGCATCTCTGGTACAATTGAGAATCAAATGTGTGGAGTTGCAAGCCTTGAAGCCTGTGATCTAAAAAATGGCTCGGAAATAGAACCGTGGGAAGAGTTCTTGGTTGCCTTATAGCAGTCTGTTCGCGTAAGCAGAGCTCGTTTGAAGTCGGAACGTCCCAACTTTGTAGAGTGCATCCTGCGCCATCTGCGAAGATGACAGTGTTGGCTTTATGTCATGCTGACGCAGACGAGAGGGCCATTGTGATTCAAGCCACCCAGCCTTCGAAGATCCACATGAATATGAAGCATTTGACTTCAAACCGAGAATTTCAGTATTGACTTTACTTTTCATAAGCAGTTGGTCGCGTCCTCGTTGTTATCCGCATCTTTCGCACTCCGCTTTCTGCTTTGCGTTCTGCCTCTGTCTGACTTCGTCGCCTCCCCCCCGATTGCTATCTGAGTTTCGTCAAGGATCTACTTGGATCCTGCAGTTTCCAAGCTCAAAATGGCCCCTTTTACAAGCCTCCCCCAAGGGAGCGGCCCCCCCTCGTCCCCACCCCCTCTGCGCCATCGTTTTCACTGCCCCCCAAATGTCAACTTTGCCAGCACCGTCCGAACATTCGTCCTCGAGCAACCGTCCAAATGGTTTCAACTTCGCGCTCCGCCGTCCGAAGGGCCGTCCGAATGGTGTCAAGTTCTTCACCACCTTTCAAACGCTGCGAGCTCTGACACACTAGACTGAAGGGGCGTCGTCACCACCTGTCCGAACGGTGTCAGCCTGCTGACGTCGTCCGAACAAACAACCCCCAAGCATTCGTACGAATGACCAGCCACCTGAACGTCAGCAACTTAACACCAGCGGCCGGAAAGTGTCCTCTTCGCGCCCATCGTCGGAACGAAGTCAACTTCGAGCGCACGCCTTTGGCGTCAAGCGTCCGCATCATTTACCAGCACGGACCAACTCAAGCCAGAACAACTGCCGCTGATCGCGTCGATACATGTCGCTGACGTCACCCCTGTTCGGTTCCCTTCGTCCGCCAACAAGCAACGCGTCCAAGCCCGGCTCGCAGCTTTCACGTTTCTTCGACTTACAAGACCAATCCCGTCATCTTTACCTCTTCTTCAAGTGCCAGCTACATCCGGTGTTCCTCTTTGTCTCCCCCTTCGAGAAGAGCGCAAGCGACCTGTTCGTGTGCGGGCCACAGTTATCAAAAGATACGCTGTCTGTCTTCTCTCCGTACTGCTGACTCAGTCTGCTCAATAATCATGAGCGGCGGGGCACAGAGCTAGTCGACGTCAGCGTCTTTTGCTGATATCAGCATCTCGTATTTCTTTGACAGGCAAAGCGTGCGAGGGAGAGGACGCCGACGCCGGGCCAGTATCGTGGCGTGCGGGGAGCGCACGAGAGTGAGGGCTACGGCTCTTTCGTATTCGCCTTTTAAGATCTCCGCTGCCGTTTCTTTATTTCATGCGACATTGCTCGGGCATTGATTCGATAGTCCCTGGGCTCTGCATCCAGATGTGATTTCCAATGTGTTTCAGATGGGCACAAGATTGGGTATGCCGGGTTTTGTTGACCTCTGGAAGTCGATGAGCTCCGGTTCCGTTCGTAAGTCGCTTACAAGTTACTTGTTGCAGAAAGCAAGATTGCAAGCTTCCCGCTGGTTTTGATGTCCGTGTCTATTGTTATCTGCCTGCGCTTTTCTCAGATTGTGTCTCTTTCTGTTCAGCGGCACCGCCACCGAGGAGCTCGCGGTATGAGTCCGACCGGTACGATCGTCGTTCTGACAGAGACGACCGGTATGGCAGGAGCTACGACCGACATGACAGGTATGATGACAAGTACGATCGCCGCCGGCGGTCTCCAGATTATGGACACTCACGCCGAGAGCGCTCTCCGTATGATAGAGACAGAGGGTATTACAGGAGGTGAAGCGGTGGCGTACTTATGGTGGGCGGGATTGTTTCTGTATCCTTGGAGACCCTGTAAGGGTCGACCACCAATGGTAGAGGTCGCTGCAGTGAGTTTAGATATCCTCCAGTCTGTTCGCCGACTTAGTTTGCCTAAGCGATAGTCAGAGTTGATACGCCTTCTTTGGAAAAGTATGTAAAGGTGGCGTTCCCAAGAACCATGCATTGCACTGGACGGTCTGAACAACTTGAAAGAAGTTGCATTACTTATGATGGGATTTTGCATTGCATCTGAGATCAAAATGAGAAAGGGATTTCATTCACCCAGGATTTTTCAGTGTGCCTCATGATCGATTGAAACTCTGAGAGGGGCGCGCAACTATATGGCGATCTGATCGGATTACATGTCATTGAGAACGGGCATGCCGCCACGGCATGACGGTGCAATCATACACTACTAGTACTGCGTGCGTCGCATGGCGGGTCCATATATGATCGATGAATCCGGTACAGAGTACGTATTAGTTATATATGGGTCTCTCGAATACTTAGTGTGTGCAGCACGTTGATCATGTCATGCCTGGTGTGCATAGTGCAGCCACCATGCATCTGACTCAGTGAGCGTGCGGCTACTATAAAGACGTTGGCCATCATTCAATTTGGTTTGCATGGCACGGCCGCAGTGACTAAGTGATATTTCAGGGCCGTTCTCAATCCGAAGTTTGACGTTGAGTATCTCAGCTAGCGCTGGCCAAATGGGAGAAGTACACATGCCTGGGAAGCTTAGAAGGAGAGACACGCCTTGTACTCTTTCACGCAACGGACCATCCAATTATGCATGCACTTGTACTGACGTCAAAGTCAGCGGTGCTTTTGCAAACAAGGGTTATATGCCCTGCGAAAATCAGGGGGCTATGTTCATGACAGCGCTTACCAATCTGTCTTTCCCCTCACCTCTCGATCCCACCAATTTGCAACAGTAACTCCTTCGAACCTGCAAACGCAACTGCAACGTGGCAGTGAAACCACGTCCAAAGAATTGCACAGGCGCACGTCTGCTCAAAACAACGTGCAAGTGGAATATGCGGAGGTCTAGATTGCAATTTACTTGATCACCAAAAATGTTTCTATAGAAGTCCATTTCTGACCGTCTCTCTGTGCCACTTAGACATGAGGCCTGTCCAATAAGATTGAGCTCTAATCCAGGGACGTACCCGAAAGCGGGCCCTGTTTGCGGCCCGAGGTCCAAACTGTGCAACAAAAGTCGCTCGGCTCTCACAAGGCCGTTCCAGTCCTAGCCCACGTGCTTGCTCTTCTGCTTCTTGTACTTCTTCTGCGAAAAGAGGAAATACAGTTAGCAACGGATAGGAAATCTGTGCATCAGCTTAAAGGGCTTGTTGCGCATTACGTTCTCTTTATTTCGCTGCAATCTGCTGAGGTGTAAGAAAGCAGTCAAGCTCCCATTAAGGTGCAGCTTGATCAGCCTTGAAAGCTTTTACCGTATCAATGATAAAGTTGTATCCAGAAAAATATACAGCTTCGGAGCATGCAAGAAGTTTTTCAAACGAGAAACTCTTTGCGGGCGTGCAAAAGCAAATGTCCCCATTTGAGTTCAGCCTAGTATGTAGGATCCAGCCTTGAAGAAAAAATAAAAATTACCAAAAACGTCGAGATGGTGTTACAAGTCTGGCTATTCTCCTGATATCCCCACGGCGAAATCCTTCTAGCAGATTCTCGACCGCGCGCGTCAAATACAGGTGATACAACAATCAAAGACCCGGCTTGTCCACCAAGCACCCCGCCGATTCAGTTCAGAGATTAGCGAAGCCACTCATTACTTCGCAGAGACACATTTGAGATCAATGCGGTATATCACCATAAGTTCGCAAGTATGCAGTCAAGAGATCGTACGACAAGAACTGCACAGAGTTGACGGCTGCGACTCAGCAGGTTGAATTTCGGCTGCACCTTTTGCGCCTCTGCATCCGTCCGCTCTTCCCACGAGCTTTTCCGCAAGATGAGCGGGCGGTTCCCCACGTATTTACCTGGTGAGAGCAAAGAAACAAATCTTCCGAAGCTGACCAACCCAAGGAGAAATAACTGGTGACGAGTGATAGACTATAGGTGGGGTTGGGTTTCGTTCATACGTGGTCCTCCTGCTGCGGAAAACAAAAGTTGTCGAGCGAGGCGCTTTCAGTTTAGAAAACCCTAGTCATGAGAATAGAGACCAGACCTGGAAAGAGTTACAACTCAGTCCCTTACCTCTTGGTCTGCGTTTGGGTTATTCCGCTCTTGCCAAGTGCTCTTCCGGAGCTGAACTGGCCGCTTTCCAATATACTTCCCTGCCGATCACACCGGACAGCAGTCGCACTGAGAATCGGGGTCTAACCGTCTTGGAATACTCGAATGTTGGACTTGGGAACTGACATACTCGTACACTATCGACTGCGGTTGGGGCGAGACAAAACGAAAACATCGTAGACTTCATGCTCACGAACATTGAGGATCTTGAAAGATAGATTCTGAAACCGCACATGACAACTCGTGCTTTTCAGCAAGATGATCTGACGAAAGGGTGTGACACCCTCGGAGGGTGTTTGAATGTTACTTAATATGGACTCCGGTGTGTGCTTTGTGCACCTTTAGGGTCTCCACTTTACAAGAAGAGGAAGTGGGACATGCTGCGCAACAATCTCATCCAACAGGCAGTTGCCCGAGACCTGAGCGAGTATACTGCGTACTGAGATCGTCCAAAACGCAATGCATCAGAAACGACAATCGCTTTATGAATGCAGATCGATTTGATTGGACTCTGGAAGGCAATGTCCACCCTATGCAAAAAGCTGGACTCTTCCAGGGAGCTTAGTTCTCACCTTGCATCTCCTTCAGGGCGGAGAACATGTCGCCCTGTGTTGCGAAGCTGACGAATCCATAACCCCGCGTTTTACCCGTCCGTTTATCCCGGATAACCTGCACATTAAGGACTCCTTTTCAAGTGATTCTAGGAAAATAGTATGAGGAGGCCGTCCCATCGCATCGCATTCTCTCTTGCCATTTTCTCTGCTTTCGCTCGCTCTTTTGCTTCTGTCTTTGGCGCTCGCTAACCGAGCGAGTAGACAGACAAAGCGAGAACTGCAGCGTGGGTTCAGGAAAAATGAAGGAGACACCTCTTGGCAAGTTCCTTTTGACGCTTCATGGTTGCAAAATCGACGAGCATCCAATACCGCTCGTGACAGCGCATCGCAAAAATGGACGTGCTGCTGCTCAACGTTCCTCAAGAGTTCAAGCTTAATATTACTGCCGCAATATTCATCAAGGACAGATGGTTGCGTTGGTACTCTTACAATCAGGTGCTCTACATCTGCTGCCTACCTTCGCCATGTTGAAGCTGCTGTACTTGACGAACGCCTTTGACAGGACGTCCTCGTTGACCTCGTTCCCGAGGTTGCCGCAGAACAATCGGAAGTCGTCTGCAGAGACAGGTCCGGAGTTCAGTGCCAAGGGTTTCAAGGTTCAGGTCAATCAGACTTGGACTCTTGGATTCTGGCAGTCAAACGCGCAGCTTTGTAGCAGATGGCATCTTCGCAATGTAGCGGCAAGGGTGAGCTCAGACCTACGGTGAATAAGCGGTTGAAAAGAGACGTCCCCAAAAACGGCCGAACGCCAACGCCGCAGTTTTGGAGGTCAATCTCCGCATGATGGACGATCCAAACGCCAGGCAAGTCCACCACGTGCTCAGAATGGTACTACAAAGCAGTCTCAAAGAATTCTGAATTGACCCACAAAGAATGTATTTCAGCCCACTTACTCGTATAGAAAGATAAGTAAAGAAAACACTGTACAAGTCACGAGCTGCAGCACAATTGTCTTACTTTCGGGCCACTCCGCCAGTGTGGGATCCACCCACTTCTCCCCCGCGGCTGTCCGAGCAATCGGCCGCTTCTTCGTCTCTTTCTTTGGGTCTGGCTTCGGCTCTTCTCCGGCCAGCGCGGCTTTCACCCTTTCTAACTCTGCCGGATCGAGAGCCTTCATATCCCTTTCAAACAGTGTTTGCCCCTGTAAACCAAAACACGTGTGTCAGGCGATTGTGAGGGAAGCAAGCAGGAGCTTGGAGTCTGGGTGAGTATGTGCAACGATCCTTTGCGTCAAGTAGCTTCTCTGCAAGAGCCAAGCGCCAAGGAGCCTTTTACACGTCACTTTCGCACCTTTTGCACCTCTCGGGTCGCTGTTCGCTTAGGAAATGAAGCGCAGCATATGGAACACGGTTGGCGAGAGGCCCAACTTATCTTGCAACGAAGAGTGCCTGCCATGTTTGTGAAAACAGTAGGAGTCCTGCAAGAAGATCTTGCAGCGGAGAAGTGACTAATAACAGCTTTGTATTTAATGGCCATTGAAAGTCCTCTGTTTATCTCTGCAAGCTCTCGCAACCAGCAAAACTGGGTCCCGAATCTTTCGCTATCTGGCCTCCCTTAGAAGCCAATGTGCTCGTCATACTGACACAATGAAAGCCTGCATAGCAGAGCTACAAAAAGCAAGCCTACATAGCAAAGCTACAAAAAGCACGTGCTTCTTATGCATGATTGAATCCGCCCTTCCAAAATAAACGCCTCTGATCAACCCTGTCTGCAAAGCGGCTTGAGATAATCACCTGTGTAAGGGGAGGCGCTGCAACCGGCCCTGGGTATTGCGCCAAAACGGGGGGGTACTGTCCCGGCGGCGCAAACTGGCCCGAGGGACCGGGGGGGTAAAAGGGTTGCGGACCCGGCGCGGGGAGGGGCGCCGGAAGTGGGGCGACAGAGGGGGGCGGAGCGTGGGGCCGTACAACTGCGGGGGGGGAAGGTCGGCGGTGC